GAGTTGAAGTCCACAAGCCTTAAAGCGGTCAAGTTTGAAGACCCCTGATCTTAACCAAGGATTGTCATCTCTGAGTAGCAGTGGCTTGTCATGGTCTTGATGAGCATTTTTTTAAAAAAATTAAAGGAAATTGCCTTCCAGAATTTCCCAGCCGGTATATGTGGGGAGTCCATATGTTTTTAAAGTTGCCAAGTTTGTGAAACGCTGGTCTTGAATAATGGCCTTTTCTAGTAGTTGAGCAAAGATTAAAAGTAGACGTGTGGGATTATATGTAATCATATCATGTGTCTTGTCGTTCCTGCTCCTCAAAGGAAATTGATGGTCGCTCTAGTCCTTGGGCAGCAGAATTCTAAGCTCTTGCAAGACTGGTTTCAACAATTACAAAGATCCTTAGAACTTTGGTGAATTTCACAGAGACCAGAGGCCAGTTTCAAGGTTTTTATTATCTACCAGGAGATGCCATGCTAAGGCGGCTTTAAACACAAGAGGGAGCTTGAATAAGCTGACTGAGCTGATTTGGGGGATAAAGAATGGCTGCAGGAAAGAAAAAACTCTTTTAAAAGCACTTAAGTAGAAGACCTTCAACTGACAGCTGTTTTATGCAGCACTTCGGATTCAGTCATCTGTTTAAATGTTTTTAAAATATATTTTTTTTCCTGCAGGAATATGAATGGCCCACTTGTCTACAACATTATAAAACAGAGGTGTCTTTCTCCTAGAAACTATTACTGTGCAATGCAGGCAGAGTTGCTTGGTGTTGGAGATTGAAGTTAAAACATTATAGAAACTGGGTCAATTTAAATTTACCTGGGTGGGGCACAGTTGCAAAACTGAATTCAAATCCGATCATCCCTCTGTGTCAGACTTAGAGGAATCTTATGGTTCTAAGTTTTTATACAATAGTCAAATGTTTTGAAGTGAGAATTAAATGGTTTTTGAGAGTCTCTTTTATTTATTGAATCTGTATGCCATCAGATCTCTTGGAAAATCTCTTGTAAGTTGCGGGGCTCATTTTTCAATTAAGCCTAGAAGAATTAAAAGGAAAAGTTGAGAAGGGTTATGAATGTAATTATTCAGAATAATTTTCATCTCATGAGGCTGCTGGTGTTTGCTGAATAGCGGGCAACCTGATGCTTTGCTAATTAGTTCATATGATTAGTTAGTGACCAAAGATCCTTGGAATTACTTCCAAGAAATTAGAAAGCAGAGTTGTTGTATGTCCTATTAAACAGTGGGTCTATTTCATATTTCAATACAGACATTTTTTATTAATTCCAGGCTGTATAGTATTCTATCACAAATAATTCTTTTCCTGAGCGTAGAAAACACCAGTCAACTCAGATCACTGGTCTATCCAGCTCTGTATTATCAATGTCTGGCCTTCAACTATATCTCCTCACATGGTTCTGACTATGCTAGTTTATTGCTGAACTGACCACAGGAATACAGAATTCCATTCTAGTGCATTTTCGATTTTACTTGGAAAAGCTGGAGAATAAGCTCAGAGCCTCATATCTAGAAACCGGGCACTGCCCTAATGAGCTATATGGCCTCTCCCTGCAAACTCCCAACAATCCGGATAACTTGAAACACTTTACTGAAAGAAAGTTGAAAACATGAAACATATATTTGGAGGATTTTGTGGTTTGACTTCAGCTACTGAATATTTGCTCATGACAGTCATCAGATTTTGAATAAGGGATTCTCTTGGCAATCATTCACAATTTTTAACAACTATGCATTTCTCGGTGACTTTAGATTTTACTATAAGATGAGAAAGTTAATCGTCTTGTCTTCAGCATAATTCTGTCCAAGAAAGGATTCAAAAAAATACGTTTATTCTCTCGGGCTTTAAATATTAAGATAAACATGATCATATCCTTGTATGGATTGAGTATTTATTGAACTGCAAACAGGAGTCAGAATCTCATTCCAGCAGCTTTGCTAAAGCCTGCTTACGGTATACACAACATTGAAGTTATTTTGCGATGGTTTTGACACCTAGGAGGCACGAGATACAGAACAGCGAGAGTTGTAAAGGGTGCTCAAAAAATCCCTTGGGGAACATTTGATTTAAGTCTAAATTGGGGGCAGGGGGTGAAGAAGAAAGAGGGTGCTACACTTAACATTCTTATTCCCTTCATAGAAATGGGGTTTCATCCAGATAAATAGCAAAATGGTTGAATTTTAAAAATAATACTTGCAACTCCGGCTTTCCACAAAAGTGCCTATTGCTTTACAAATAAGGGGAAGGAGGCCACACAGCACACAACGTAGCTATCCCTGAAATCAGCTGCTTCTACCACAGCATGACATAAAACCAATATTGTGCAATTAGGTGTTGACCGCTACTGAAATCAAAAGCTCAGAAAACCAGGTGGCTTTATCTCAGCTTTGGGAAGCCTACCGCTGAGCTAAACAGCTAGCTCTCTAGGCTTCAGTTGCCAGCTTGTTCCTGTTTCGCGGAAAAGGACAACTTTCAAACAGACTGAGGAACGACGACTTTGCTTCAACAAAGGACTTAGCTTACACGGACCACACGTAAAACGAGATTGTCTGAAATTCGACGTCCAGCCAAAAACAAAACAAAAAACACAGGCTGGATTTCACCTTCCCAAGTGGAATATTGCTCTTCTGGACAACAGAACAAAGGACACGGACTATTCACAAATCAAGGCATTCTACTCCAATCTACTTTACAATAAGGCTACAGCAGTAACATCGTTTTGACAACAAAAGTGCTAGGGGCTTCTACTCTTCGGCCGACGACGGGCTGCAGTGGTCTTCGGGTTTCCGTCAGGGTCTGAAAGAGGAGCTGGCTTGCATCTTGGGAGTAACCCTCCCATGCAAGAGAACAGGTTTGAGGTATAGCGCGGTAGCTACGTAGACGGCAGGTAAGGCTGCTCAGCCCCTCCCAGAGAACGGGCTCACTCAGGGCTTCAGAGTGGGGGGATGATTGGAATCTGGTACCTGCTTCTCTCTCTCTTTTTCCACCCCTTTAAAGCCTGAACAAGAGAGGGATACGCCCTTCGGGTACTGGGCGCAACAACGCCTCATCTCCTGGAAGACAGCTTCGCATTTAGATTCCAAGTAGTTGTTTGCTGCAACGAAAGAAGAGCAATGGTGGGAGAATGGCAGCTGGGCAGGCAGAATCCCCTTCAAAATAGTCCTATAACCAGAAATGAACACATTCCACACAGTTTATAGAATAGAATAGGATTAAAATAGAACAGAATAGGATATCGGAATGAAAGAACAGAATAGAATTGGAATAGAATTTAGAATAGAATTAGAATAGGATATTAGAATGAAAGAATAGAATAGAATCGATATTGGAATGAAAATAGAAATAGAACAGAATTGATATTGGAATGAAATACCGTATTTATCGGCGTATAACACGCACTTTTTCCCCCTGAAAATAGGGGGCAAATGATGTATGCGTGTTATACGCCGATGTCCAGGGAGCGGAATCCTCTTTAAGGGATCCCGTTCCCAATAGTGCCTAGCGGCGGCGCAGCGTCGTGACGTGATGTCAACGCTGCGCCCGCCGCATATTTTTTTCCTGAAATTTCCCTCTTAAAGGGAATGCGTGTTATACGCCTGTGCGTGTTATACGCCGATAAATACGGTAATAGAATAGTACAGAACCGAATAAAGGAATTGAGTTAGAATAGATATTGGAATAAAGAATAGAATTAGATTAGAATAGAATCAATACTGAATGAAAGAATAGAATAGAATCGATATTAGAATGAAAATAGAAAGAAAAGTGAGGTCAAAATACTTGGTGAGTTCAAATTTTCGCGATATCAATACTCAAATGTTATTTTAGGTCTCCCCCGTTGGGCAGGGGGTTGGACTAGAAGACCTCCAAGGTCCCTTCTCCGTCTATGTCTGGAAGGAAGATTTTAATTAAAGGCTACAATTTAAGCCGGCGTTTCAAGAATTGCTCACAGGGTGCCAGAAATTCACACAAATATAGACTAGATCAGACATCCGTAGCATTTTGTGGTTTAGAAGAGCTTCAACGTAATTAAAATACAGCAAGTTGTAAAGGAACAGAACGCAAAGTAAGAAAACAGGGCAAAAACAACTTTCTCCACCAATTTAGGATAAACATGAATAGCTAAACTTGGAAGGAAATCCTGTTTGTTCCAGAAAGAAGTTACTTTCAGCTCTACCACCTCAGCAAACAGTAAACGCTGCACACGAACTACTGGGAAGTCACATACAGTCTATGGGTTTAAACCAGGGGTGTCCAACCGTGGCAACTTTAAGACTTGTGGACTTCAACTCCCAGAATTCCTCAGCCAGCTTTGAAATCCACAAGTCTTAAAGTTGCCACGGTTGGACACCCCTGGTTTAAACCATTTCTGCTACTAAGTGTGAATTTTAAAATTAGGCTTTTCTGTCCTCCACTTTTATTATCATTTTGCTTACGTTTAAACTATATTTTCTAAAAAAACCCAAACCACTTTGAAAAGCATAGAAAGGGCATGTTATTTACTTAACAATAAATCAAATACTACAAAACCAAGAGGAGCCGCTTACCTTGCAAACATTTTTGGATTTCACAGGCATGTTTCTTACAGGGGTCTTTTGCAGCCATAACCAAGGAACTAGAAAAAAAAAATCAGAAAGGAAAAATATTATCCTGGCAAAATAGAGGGCCAAAGTTCCCAAGGCCCTATCTGAAAGAAGCTTCATTTCCCCTTCCACACATCACCGATCTGGAATTGGTTCCTACAGGATCCAGCTCATCAAGGATTTTCTTCATCCTCTTAAGTCCATTTTCTTGCTCATGAAAAGGATCAGCTGTCAATCTCCCACATGCCACCTGAGAGAGCTGGCAGAGTCTACATGAGTTCTGCCTTCCCCAGAGCTTACCAAGCCAAGTTTGAGAAGGAAAACAATGTGCTAACTTGGTTTGCTTAAACCCAGCTTGCCAAAACAAAATCTGATGGATTATTCATGCAACAAAACCAAAAGCCGCCATTACAGTAAATAGCTTCGTATCATAGACCAAGTCATAATCACAACTTCTTTAGCTTAGTATGATAAATAAACCCAAGCAGAGAGAGATGATCTTTCCTTCAATAGATCCTGAGCTTTATCAACTGATAAGCTGTAGGTTCCTGTCCTGAATATTGGAATGACACTTAAAGACACACTGGCACTGCCTTCCCTTACTACAAACACCATTAAGCAAACTTGTCAGATAATTAACACACTCAAAGGATGAAAACTAAAGTACTTAAAAGGATTGCATGCTGTTGAAGAAATGACTGAATGGAACTTGAATGACAGTAGTTTCTTGTGCATGAGAGGAAGGAAAGAAAGGAAATGAAAGGAAGGGAAAGAAAGGGAATAGAAGGAAGAATAGAATAGAACAAAGCAGAACAGAATAGAATAATGGAATGGAATAGATCTTTATTGGCCAAGTGTGATTGGACACACAAGGAATTTGTCTTGGTGCAAATGCTCTCAATGTACATAAAAGAAAAGAGACATTCATCAAGAGTCAAGAATCGTAAGGTATCAAAAGGAAGGAAAGGAATGGAAGGAAGGAAAGGGATAGAAGGAAGGAAGGAAGGAAGGAAGGAAGGAAGGAAGGAAGGAAGGAAGGAAGGATGGATGAGGAAGAGGAAAGAAGGGAGGAAGGCCCCCAACATGCTACATTTTGGAAACTAGATTCTCCCCTCTGAGTCACCGGTCTTGTAAAAACATGTAGGGAACACTGCTAAGCCTGGTGATGCTGCCAGAAATAAACAAGATGAAAAAACACAAACACACAACATCCTCAGTTGGTCAAAAGAGCCCAGTACTTTTCAAGGCGGTTCATCCAAGGAAGAAGCTGCGATCTGTTTTACTGGATCAAGAAACTCATGGGGTCCGTCCTTCCAGTCTGACCTTCCCCTCGCCATCCTCCCCCGGCCCCCAAAGGCCTCCAGAATCTCTGCAGACCAGAGAGCCAAGGCCATCGCCATTGCTTGCTCCTCCACTCTTAAAACCATGGTATGCTGACCAGCTTTCCGGCAGGGGAGGGGCAGGTCCGGTCTGCCTACCTAAAACTGCCCCTCTGCTTTCAACTGGCCATGTTGCTCTTCTCGACTGCCTGTCCTAAGCTCTTGGGCGGCGTTGCTGTGGGCAGTGTTAAGGGAGTTGCACGCCGTGCTCTGCCTCGGGGGCAGCAGCGGCCATTTTGAGCGCTAGGAGTTAAGACATTAAAAAAACCACAGCGGGGCCGCCGTCCCAGCATCACAGCTCCTGAAAGACAAGGGGAAAAAAGCGGCATGGAAGAACCACCGTGAGTCAGAGAAAAGCGGAAACTGAACTCGAGGAACGCAAGGGAGGATGGGGAGGGAGATGAGGAGGAGGAGGAGGAGGAAGAGAAGCTCACCGGGTTTAATTGCTGGTCAGGAGTTTCAGCAGCAGTTCTTCCACTCCCATGACCTGCAAGGACCCAAAGACGTGTTTGCCGTAAGAGCCCAGCCGGTGGACAGATAACAGATAATCAGAATTGGAAGGGACCTTGTAGGTCATCTAGTCCAACCCCACCCACCCACCCCGCCCAAGCGGGAGACCTTAGACCATTTCTGACAAATGGCAGTCCAGTCTCTTCTTGAAAATCTCAAGGGATGATGCTCCCACAACTTCTGAGGGCAACTTCTGTTCCTTGGGTTGATTGTTCTCACTGTCAGATACTTGTTCCTTGTTTCCAGGTTGAATCTCTCCTTGTTCAGTTTCCATCCATTATTCCTTGTCTGGCCTACAGGTGCTTTGGAGAATAGCTTGACCCCCTTCCTCCTCTCTGGGGCAGCCCCTCAAATATTGAAAGTGCTATCCTGCCTTCCCCTGGTCCTTCTCTTCACTAGACTAGCCAGGCCCAGATCTCCACCGAGCCAGGTTTTACTTAACCTACCGTTGAGTGTTGTTCAATGCCCCAGATGCGAGAGTTACTGTCCCGGTACTGCGGCCCCGCTGAAAGCTGCCACATATGGGGCAGCTGAGAAGCAGGAAGGCGGCTGGGGCGCACGGCTTCACCCAGGGGCACAGGGATTCTTCTGATCCGGGCTTTTAGCGTCCCTCCTTCCTAGAGGAGGGAGAAGCCCAAGAAAGAAGTCACGGATAAGCTCAGCCCGCCCCCCCACCCCAAAATCGGCTCTAACCCGACCTGGGCGCGGAAGTGAGGAGACGAGGGAGCTTACCTCTTCTTGGGCCACCAGCCATGTTGCTTGGTTCTCATCGCAGTAGACGCCCATCCGCCATACCCAGAGGCGGACAGGTGGGACCTGGGCTTCGTCGCCACCTTCCTCACCTTCTGCCATGCCCTGCTATTTGGCTAGGAAGGCCCGCCCTTGGATCCCATGTCTACACGTCCTCTTTTAACTCTGAGCAAAGATACGCAATGGTTAGTCTTGCAAAGGAGCAGCACCAGGAGGGAAGGAGGGAAGGCCAGGGGTGGCATGCACCATACTAGCATCATGAAGAGCATGTTAAAAAAAAAGAGGGGGGGGTGGAGAGTTTAAGAAATGTTGTGCCTGTCACTGTCCCTTTGGAGATAAAGTGGATTCCACTGGAAAGGTCTGTGATGACCCAGAATGTAACACAAACGTAACAAAATCCAAAATGTAAATAAATGTCCTTTAATGCCTCTAAGTTGGCCCCAATGTTCAAATAATTCTCAGTTGGGAGATAAAACTTATTCAAAAATAGTCTTCAAAAGAAAGCAATACAGTCCGAACTCAATGAGCAGATAGAGGTGAAATTAAAAAAACCAAACAAACTACAATGAAGGGAATTCCACAATGGACCAGGATAAGTAATTACCAACTTCAAGGAGATAACAGGGCACACTCTGTTGGAAGGATGCCAGCCAAGATAACTTCAGCCCAAAATAAAACATGCTTTGCTTCTGGCAATGCTGTGTTTTAACCATCTCTCTTATATACTATTCTCCACAACTGTAACCAATGAGGGGGATCGTGGCCACTTCCTCTCTCGTAAGCCAAGTTGTTTCCTTCTCCGTTCCTCCCTGCATGCCCTAGCATGCAGAGGGGATGGGCCTGGTTCTTCCTCTGACTGCCCAGCCGGTCTCTGCCCTTCCCCAGCCTCCTCCACAACCTCCGGAGCCACACCTCCACTCCCTGTTGACTATTCCTCCTCTCCCTCAGAGTCTGACTCTAACAAGGGCATGACACGTCTTTCAAGAAGAAAAGTGTGACGGTGCAGTTATAGGAGCTATCAGTGGCCTTGATCAATAGTTAGGACCAAGTCAGTGTTTTTCAACCAAGGCAGCCTTAGGAGGTGTGGACTTCAAATCTCACAATTCTCCAGCCAGCCGAGAGCTGAAGTCCACACATCCACAAGTGGCTGAGGGAGAATAACACTAATCCAAGTGAATCTACAGTCTGGATGTGGCCTCCGGAGTGCTTCGTAGTTAATCTCATCATTGGATGTTACTCCCGGTTTGCCTTTCCAATATTCCTTTCTCTCTTTCAGTTGATCTCCCCACAACCATGTTAGACCATTTTGGGTGGAGAAAACAAAACGAAATCTACACAATCTGAAATCAAGAACAGATAGGTACAGCTGATGATTTGGGGCAATATACTCTCTGCTGCTGCTACTTGAAACAGCTGAAGCGCTGAGTAAAGTAAGATATATGGAATAGTAGGAAGAGCAAAAAAATCTCTCAAAAGGAGCATTCTTTTACCCCTTTGGGGTAAAACTGAATCGCTGAAGGGTTGGCAAAACATAATGAAATGAAAATTATTTAGTATCCCAATTGTATTAGTTGCAGGGGTGCCCATTAATCTTCCAGCATAAGGACAAACAAATTTAGCTCTTCTTTCTGGCAATTTTTTTTTTTAAAAAAACAAGATGCCGTAATTTAAGTGAAATTCTTTTTAGCATTCATATCCAGGACAAATCAGGAAAGAAACATTCAGCAGTCTAAAAGCAAAGGGGGTGAAAATGTTGGGAATATATATATATAAATATATATATATATATTTCTAGTTTGTTTTTTTTAATTTAACACACTAGCGTTGAACGGAGGTGGCGGCAGAATGAAGGGTGTTCTAGGCTACTAGGAAAAAGAAACACATATCAGAAACACTTTGTGCAGCAGCAGAAAAGAAAGCTATGTGGTTAACCACTTTGGTGGCCAGCCTTTGAAAGAACATTTTGCATTTGATTGCTGCAAAGGAATACAGACTATGCCCAGGAAGGTACAAGCTGTTTCTTTGGGTTTTAGAATTCCACCACAACCTCTTGGGCTCGACTCAAATGACTAAATATGCCAAATGTATCAAGAGCTGCACAAATGACACAATTAGGGACAAATCCACACTATGCAAGAAACTTTCCCCAAGAAACATTTACTCAATATAAGACGTCCATCCCGCTCCACCACCACCACCCCCACACAACTGGTGCACCAAAGTTGGACTGCGGAGTCAACATGTTGCTGCAAATTCAAAAAGCCAACAGAATAAAAAAAAATGCTCATGCTTGTATTTTGGCAGCACTCGGTGCCCTAACAACAAAGGACGGCTCTCACCATGGAGCTATATTTGAGGGTGACTCAGAGGGGAGAATTTTTGTCTATGTTTGGTTTGAAGAAACGTTTTCCCAAGCTGCACCAGGATCCTCTCAAAAAATCTCCTATTCACAAAGAATCAGAGCATTATACGGTATATGTATCACTGCAACATCCACGTGCTATTAATACCATTAATTCTGATGTCGGCGATTTCTTAGAAAATAAAGAACATTAGCTGAAATCTATTAGACTTCTTACTTGAGCAGAGCAGTAAGAAAATATAACCAGAGGGGAGTAGTTGTGGTACTCCAGCCTGGTAATTATTATTATTATTTTGTAATGCCATCTCCAGATCTGGAGAAAAGCAGCTCATTTCTCTCTCTCTCTCTCTCTCTCTCCCCTCAACCCTCAAACCCTGGCTCGGTTTTCTTCTTAAGTGCTGAATTTGACTTGTTATGGAACACGAGACAGAAGGCTCAGCTTACAGATGGTGGCAGAACTGAATCAAAAGGTGGATCTGTTATAAGCAGCATCATTAAGCCATGCATCGTGGCTGCAGCACCCTTAACCCAAAGCAAGCAGTCTGCAGCCTCTTGTGAGAGCGGTTTGTCTGTTTCGAAGTAATTGTTTTGAAGTTCAGCTTTAGAAGGCCGAGATTCCTGCAGCCTCCTAAAACATTTATCTGGCCCTGAGGGTATTCACTACTTTTTCTTGGCATCAGTGTGAATTTAAAAACAAATATATAAATGACAATTGCAAATAGAAGATATCGTTACAAGAAAAAGAGCAAGACAGAGATGGAAGGCAGTGAAAGAAGTCAACAATTCCTAACTGTACCAAAAGGTGGAATCTGTGGCTCCTGTGCTATTTATTACATTTTTAAATCAACTCAAAGCAATGAGATTGCAGGGGGGGGGGGTTAAAAAAGACCAGTGGTCTCTAATCAGTGGACCAGGGACCACTGGTGGTTCACGAGAAAATTTTGGTGGTCCGCAGAGAAATGTCTCCCCCGCAAAGCACCCCCTAAAGCAATTAATCCAGGCTGTGTGGGAACACAAGGCTGCGCTGCCCACATGGCCCACGGGAACACAAGGCTTGCGTCGCTTGCATTGCGAACATGAAACAGTGAAGGGAGGAGGGAAAGGGCGGAGCGGCGGAACATGCCCCACACTCCTGTCCTGCCCACCGGGCTGCTTCTTTCTGCTTCTTTCTTCTTCTGCTTTTGGCTGCATGCAAGGAAAGCAGCAAAAGTCTTTCTTTTTCTCCCCCAAACTCTGCCAGAAATGAGCCTTTGGGACCCTGCAAGGCCTCCTGCTCCAAGAGGCTGCGCCATTCTGGGGAGTTGGGGGGAGAGAAAGACAGACTTCTGCTGCTGTCCTTGCATGAAGCCAAAAGTCTCTCTCTCTCTCTCTCCCCTTGAGAACGGAGCTGGAGACGGTATCCTGCAATCCCAAATAAAGAATGATCGATTGGTAGGAAAATGGGGTGGGGAATTTTCCTGTAGACTTTGGGGGGGATTTTCCCAGAGTCTCTTGGTCCACAGGATTTAAAATTCTGAGTTTGGTGGTCCCTGAGGTCCAAAAGGTTGGCGCCCCCTGCCCAAGCCCACTGTCAATGCATTACATGAACACTGCCGTCTGCATATTGGACCAGCTAAGTCTGCCTTCCAACCTTGTCTCTTTATTGGAATGTGATTAAACAGGAAACCCACCCCAGGAGGTGTAGCAGGGTGGAAGGGACCTCGTAGGTCATCTAGTCTAACCCCCTTGCCCAAGCAGGAGACCCTAAGCCATTTCTGTCAGGTGGCAGTCCAGTCTCTTCTTGAAAGCCTCCATGGATGATGAAGCTCCCGCAACTTCTGTTCTTTACAGATTAACAGAGTTGGAAGGGATCTTGGAGGTCACCTAGTCCAACCCCCACCCCCAAAGCAGGAGACCCTACGCCTTTCCTGACAGAGGGCAGCCCAGTCTCTTCTTGAAAGCCTCCAGGGATGAAGAAGCCCCCACGACTTCCGAAGTCCGACCTTCCCCATCAGAGAAAGGGGGACTCTGCCTGTTGAACTGCAGCCTGGCAGAGATTCCCTCAACCCCCGGGGGGGGGGGGGAGGGAGCTTCGTCCTTTCCTCTGCCCCTCCCCCACAACAACGTCTCTGGGGGGGGAGGGGGCGTCAAAGCAGCCCCCCTTCCCCACGGAGGGGGTCGACCCAAACCGCCCGCCTTCCTCGTCCAGGCAGAGACCGACCCGCTCTTCCCTTCGCCAGCCACTCACACTCACTCACACACTCACACACACACACACACACACTACAAACCCACCCCAACACCACTGAAGGGCAAGCGAAGCAGGTGGGGGAGGCGGCCCACGGGAGACAGACCTCCCCCTCCCCCACGGCCGCGTCTCTCTCGCCCCACGGCCGGACACACACACGCACAGCACGCGCTGCCCAACTCCCCCGCGCGGCCCCCCCTCCCCCGGCCGGAACCGACCTGCTGGCAGCGGCGCCGGCGGAACTCACGACCGCTTCAGCTCGGGCCCGGCCGGGTACTTCCGGCGGAACGGACCGGAAGTCGGCGTTGTCCGGGAAACGCAGGCCTAAGGCGGAAAATTACTCTGCTTGCAGCGCCGGGGAACGGACTGCTGCCGCCGCCGCCGCCGTTGGAGGAAGAGGAGCGGAGCGGAGCTAGCCGGGATGGCGGTGCAGGCGGCGCACTTGGAGGCCGACGCCTTCCTGGTGTGCTTAAACCACGCGCTGAGCACCGAGAAGGAGGAAGTCATGGGGCTCTGCATCGGGGAGGTACGGCCGCTGCGACGGGCAGGAGAGCCGGATGTGCCCGCCGACGGGGT